CAGATATATTTCTGAAAAGTTCGCTCTAATGAATTCTTTTTTTGACGTTAAACTGGATTTACCGTTTAGTAAGTTTGACGATAGGCTCAGTTGTAGTGTTGTAATTTACGAAATGATAGTAAAATATTTATCAAAGAAGGAAGTTTTTATTAAAAATTAAGCTATTATACCAAGTTTTTAAAGCATACTATCATACTATAACAAAGCTGTTCGTGCCCGGAAAAAGGGAAAAAAATGGTAGTAGGACAAGCTTATATACCTTGTTTTCTGAAAGAGTAAAACATTCCCGACAACCAAGACTTTTGAAAAGTATAACATATATACAGGATTGATTCTTATCTGAGAAAAAAGTAAATTGCGATGGGCAATCCTGATTAAAAATGGCTTCCACTTTACTTATTAAGAAATCTATAAATAAAATGTTTTTATTTCAAAGTATTATTTTTTTGGGGGGGGGGAGCAAACAGCTCTGTTCTCACTTTTTAACATTTTCACTATAGATATATGTAAATAATTAAAAAAATATTTAAGACCAAAAGATCCAGCTTTCATGTGCTGGAAGAATAAATACGTTTACATAATAGTTAGTTTGCTACCATGATAAATATTTTATTTTATTTCATAGCTGGCGTGTAACATCAGACCTATTTTTGAGTTTACGGTGATCGAAGTTCAACTGGTTCAATTCCATAGCCTTCTGATTTTGAACCCAACTCAGTAGCAAAGAAAAGTTCTGAATCAAGCATTGAAACTAACTAGTCTTCGCGGAAAACTTATTGATAAAGCTTTCCTGGCTTTTGCGTTTTATGAAAAAGAAAGCCACGAAAAAGTCCCACGGTTAGTCCGAGGGGATTCTAACCCATGTTCCATCTACCACTGACGATATTTTACGTCTGCACAGTGCTCGGTGCAAGCCACGAGCAGAAATCGTATCGAGCAGCCACCGCTAGGATTCGAACCTGTGTCACTTCATCAAGAGGCAAGCGTTTTATTTCCCGAGTCACTGGGGCTTCTATAAAGAAATTTCATTTTATTTTATCATATAACAGGTGTAGAACACCAGTCCCATTTTTGAATTTACGGCTATTAATGTTCAACTCCATTGCCTTGCAATTTTGAGCCCAACTCAGAAAACCAGGGAATTCCTAAATTAGGCAATAAGGCAAACTAGCCATCTTGTGGGGATTTTCGATGGAATTAAACCACATTTGTACTACATAGAGGAAAAAAATCACAAAACCTCTCACGATTAACCCGACGACAAGGAAATTCTCACTTATTTTTTGTCTACCACTGAGTATATTTTTATCTATCAGCTACCACTAGGACTGAACATGGGCCGTAATAAAATTATGAGATGTAGGGCTTCCAGGTTGGCATTGATATAACTCAATAGTCGACATACACTGTACCGAAAATTCGCCAGCACATAATCCAAACACACTTCAATCGCAAAACTATTATATGTGGCTTACGAAGGCCAGTTTGTCCACCACTGGCCTAATAGATCACATATAGAGTTTGAATTATTGATCTCTCAGGGTGTATTGTTTGGAAATTTAAAAATCAGGATACATAAATGTTATTACTACTAAAAAAATTGAATAAAAGTGGTGGCAATTAGGGATACGATATCGAAATATCTATTAATAATTTTAAGAAACTTTTTCCGGGTACTAGTAATTGCATCGGTAAAAAAAATATCAAGTTGTTTTGAAAGAATTCCTTCTCAAACCTCAATAACAGTTTTTCTTCAATTTTTTTCCCTGAAAGGTCATCATTCATTAGAAAATTTTCCAACCAGTCTTTCTATATCCGCTTTCTTTTAGTCAGATCAATCTTTTTAACCCATTAGAATCCCATTTATTTAAATTTTGAAATAAGAAAAAAAAATCAATCCAGTAAATTTTTGATTAAGAACGACGGGACATTTTTTTAGTTGATTAACCCTTTCGCGCCGACTGTCACAAATACGCGCCAGCATAAAACCGTATCAATCAGGGTAAACAGATAAACTTGCAATCAAAGTATTTCTTTAGCAGTTTATTTGTGGGCGGGGTTATAATTGTTTGATTTATTTAATTCACCATTACTTTGTTCAAAATAAAACTATTTAGTTATACTTTGAATTAACATTGATTATATATATGATTAAACTAACAATAATTAAAGTAAAAGCAAAGCAAGTCCGTCAAATTAGCAACGACTACATTTAAGTTACCGTTTTTTATTTAATTACAACTTGACTCTGATTTTGTACAAATACTTTTCTGAATCAATTTGGTTAATAACCAAATCTAACTCGATGCCTTTACTAAATGCATTGTCATTATTAAGAAGTGATAGTTTTTAACAGGGCTCGAAAAAATTCAGAAATTTTACCCGTCCCCGAGGACGGCTTGCCCAACAATGTACCCGTCCTCCTTTTAAACTAACCCATCGCTTCTAAATAAATAAAAAAATATAATTTTCTCTTATTTATTACAAACATATATATAAATTGCACAATGAATTAGTAGTTACTAAGATTACTAATACTGGAATTACATTATACAGTAATAAAAGAAATACTAGGTTACTAATAGTATCTTAGTATTTCGTTTATGAAATAATTTAAATGACAAAGGCAAGTTATATGGATTCTCTGTTAACAGAAAAATGGCCGTCCGCGCGAACGTCGCATTCGAAAAATTCGTTGTCCTCGGGGAATTTTTGACCGCCGAGGATGGACGGACGGGCTGTTTTTCGAGCCCTGGTTTTTAATACCTCCTCTATTCCTGAAATTGACTGAGAGCAAAATATTTTGGTAGGTATTTTATTTATGTCGATCTAAAGCTGCACAATCACAATGGGTTACTGGTGACGGTCTATGATATATCCATAAGAATGCTCGAAGACCAGCATTCACAATTCAGATCTTCTGCAGAGGGCATTTCATTTGTGAGGCCTCTTCCTCAATTTAGACATAGATCCAAAGGGGAAGGACATTTTTTTCAGATCGCTGTACCCATGATACTATACAGCGACCGAAGACAGGACTTTCGATTCCACAGATTTTACGAGCTCGTATGTCTCATATATTCGGTGGGTCTTTGTGGAGTCGAGGATGGAAGCCCGACACCTCCGTACCGGAGTCCGATTCTCTAGCCACTGGGCTACCACGGTCCAAAATATTTTGGTCATCGCTTTTTATTTATTCGAATTAAATGCATGTGCGTGTGACGAGAGTTACTTGACCTATGACACTATTGAGTTCATGTATAAAATAAAATTGCGAAAATGTAATTGTTTTATTTCATTTTTTTTTAAAATTCAGGGTTCCTAAAATCCACTAAACTAATCAAAGCGGTATTGTTTTTTTTTTATTTTAAATCATTTATGATAAAACGTTACTGATCCATTTAAGCTATGCGTCAACTATGACGTCCTTCGCATGAAAATTATTTATCCTTAAGTTATGACTGAATCAGGGAATTGTTCACTTAATTTGAGGATTAGTTTGCTACCATGGTGGATAGATTTCATTCTGATAAGTCTAGTTACAATTAGTGTAATTTTACCAAAGGTACTTGAATAGTGAAAGTGAATTCATTTAAATTTTTGCAATCGACTAAGACAACTATGATATTAAGAAAAGAAGTCGAAGCAGAAGAAGCCGAAGAAGTAGAAGCAGAAGAAGACGAAGGAGAAGAAGAAGCAGTAGAAGAACAAGCAGAAGAAGTAGAGAAGTAGAAGGGGAAATTCCCATGGAATAGAAACTTAAGATCAGAATCATTTTCTTTTTTTGAGTAGAAAACTGTTATCCCGCATCTCTTGATTTTTTTGAAATATAAATTCTATTGTGAAGTAAAAAGATTTGCCGGAAAAAAAACTGAAAAAAAGTCAAAAACTTTTTTTTCTGAGCGTTTCATCTTTTTTTAGCAAGCACTTTTTTTTAAAAAGTAATATAGAGCACTGCTTTAATTAAAATGTACAATCAAGGGTTGCAGTTGCTAATGTTTGACTAAAATTTGGAACAAATGAAAATGCCTTCAGTTATCAAAAATCGTTTCAGAAGAACCATTAAACTAATTAATGGAAGAACTATTAAACTAATTAATTAAATTTAAATTAATACTATTAATCCCATTAAACTAATTTTATCCCATTAAAAATGAGATAAAATCACAGTGTTATTTTCGGACGTAACTGAAATCATACTTGCGATTTCTGCTTCACCCGATTTTTCTCGGGTAATTTATCAGTTGCAAAATTTACGATTCCGAGATAATTCGGGATGAGCAATGGTTTTAAAATTGTGCATTTTTATTTAAGAAAAATTGATACCGTATGAAACAAAAATTAATAACGTAGCTCAATATTTCTGCAAATGGAAGATTCCTTAAAGAATGAAACAATATAAATCTTGTTTATGAATGGTCACGATTTCAAACTTAATTAACAAAAGAAAATAATTTCCTTTTGTTAATTTTTTAAACCTGCCACAAAAGAAAAAAAAAACTAAAAAGCCTGCAAAGTAAATTCTTCAAACATTGTTCTGTTTAAAAGATTTCGTTACAAAAGATTATTTGATTGATGTAATTTATTTCCCATTACCGATTCAATAAATTCCAGCTATTAATCATTGCCATTACGAAGATATTGTTCCACGTTCACATCTTTCCTTAGAAAAGATGGTCAATTAATCCAAAAGTCACAGTTTAAGAATTATCAAAAGAATCTTTCTTGTCAAGAATCAAGATGGCTCTTTCTTGTTTTCTTTTTAACTGAAAATCTTCAGGTGGCTTATGTTTGATAAATGATCCCGTTTCATTTTGAAGACCTGTCTATAAATCTGCCACTTGCCTTTACAGAAGGTATGCTAATACCGACAGTTGTTTCTGTTTTTTTTACTGATTTGACCTGGTCACCTGCCGATATACTTTCTCTAACTCTTCCTGGCGTTTGTTCAATAAGAAAATTCAAAAATTTGGAAGACGGCGTGAAACCAAGCGCCAAGGACATAGTTGCATTTTGAGTGGCTCGTTAGTCCTTGGTTGATTTGTTCTTTTGTGTGTGACTTTTTGTTTTTCTAATCATTTATGAGTATTCCTCGCTCTCTCTGTTGGTCCAGTGATATTTTGACCCCTTTGTAATCACTCACCAAGTAAGATAGGTGGTACCTGAATACGTTTTACAATTTGTGTATAAAAAGCGATGGTTAGAATATTTCACGCATAAGTTTTGTCTAAAAGTCGCTTGAAGTTTCGAAGAACAGAGATTTTAACCATGCATTTTGTGAGTTTTCATTTTATAAATTAATTTATATAATTGTTATTCATACATATGTATTTAATATGTTTTCGAAGCTGTTCTTATAGCCATACAATAATTTTTACAATAATTTTAAGTAGCTCTATTAATTTTTGCTTAATTTAAAATATATTCATTTTATTACAGTATTATCAGTTTTTTTCGTTTCATCTATGGCATTTTTTCATAGGAAGCTCTGAGAGTTATTTCTTATGAATTATGGCATATCGTGCCGCCCTTTTCTTACGCAGAGAAGCCAACAGCTTCGCTTTCGACAAAAAACTTTATAAAGTGGCAAAGAATTCAAAACTAAAATTTGCATTATTTTGCTTTGTTTCACCAATACTTTACCAGGCTCGCCACGAATTGATTCGAGCAAAGTGGCAAGAATGTATTAAATGTAATGATGGACAACACAACAGTTCATCAAATTTTTCTACCACTAGTAAAACTATTTCCACTTAGTGGAGCAATTTGTGCTTACGTTTATAGTGCTATCATAACCATGTAACTATCTTTTTTTAGCAGAACATGTTTTGAAAGATTTTGCACGGCAAAACAATTTGTATAATTTGAATGATCATGCTTGAATGTTTTAGAAATGGTGCCGGGATGCTGACTAAATGTAAGAAAAGAGATAAAGATTAGTAACTTTTCTTGGATATTTTGTTCAGTTTATAATTGAGAATGAATACTTAATTTTTTTTTAAATGTTAATAATTTGAAACGTAAGTCATGGTGGCAGTACAATTGAACACTTAAATAAATTAAGTTTGTTCCATTTTTTTCACCCGTGGCATTTCTGATGACGTCATTTTTACCTGAGCGCAATTCGGATCGTTCAAAATGAGAAGGTGAAGTTAATAACTTCTTTCTAGCTTTAATACCAGCAATTTCGAAATCATTCTATTAGATTCTGGTATTTATTCATGAATGCCTTTTAATTATTATGGTATTGAAAAATGAAACACGCTTTTAACTATATACACTCATTTTTGCCGATGCAAGTTTTGCATGTGTGCAGACCTGCCAACTTTTAATCCATTCCATTATCATTTTTCCCAGTGGTATTAAAATGGAATTAAAACTTCAATTTTAAGCAAACAAATACGTTGTATTTGAGAAAAATTAAGTTGACAACCATGATAGTAACGCATATTAATATATAAGCTTAATTTTTGTAAGAATAGTGGTGATCAAAATCATTTAAAAAATTAAATTTATAAAAGAAAAAATAGTATATATTTACTACCACTTTAAATATGAAAATAAAATCTCCCGCAAAATCCGGGAGAGTTGGCAGGTATGTGTGTGTAAAAGACACCATTTTTAAAAGCTTCAAGCATGATCTTTTAATTTGTGTCAACACTTTTGTCAGATATAATCCTCCAAAACATTTTCTGCTAAAAGTAAGATGGTTTACATAGAGATAGAATTGTTTTCATATTTTTGTCCAACCCCTGTATATTGCGTTTACACATCAAAATTTTCTATTTTTGCAAAATATATTCTCCAGTGAAGGTAAAGTATTGTTAACCTTTTTTCAAAGTAAACAAGGACATTGTCTGCATAATTTTTATACACATAATAATTGTAAGTACTGGTGGTTTGAATTCTCTGTAATCAAATTTAATACATTTAAAATGGCCGCAGTCGCGAAAAATTTAAAAAAATTGGGGATCAATGTTTATATGTGTTGTCAGAAAGTGTAATTGCTTTAATTTCCTTTCATTATAAGGAACTAAACTGGCCAGTTTTTTAACTTACAAATGTATATTGTAACATAGCATTTAGTAAAATCAGTTTATTTCCTTCAACTTCCTCTATCATTTTTTAAATTTTTTCCAGTTTTCCCACCGGAAAAAAATCTTTAGTTGCTACGGAAATTTAGTTGCAGTTGGTGGGAATGTGTTGTGCGTACAATAAACAGAAAAACTCTGTGATAAAACCCCTTGAAAACCCTGTAATAAAAGTTTTGCTTACTTTTTGTTGTTATAAATATTTTTCTATTTCAGGTTTGTTTTATTCTTGTTACTATTGCCGCAACAGTTTCTGCCCAAGGAAATATTAGAGTAAGAATTAGATTCAAATTTATATTCTATATTGTTTTTTCTTTCATACATATTAAAATTTTATATTATGCTAAGTACTAAGTAAAAATGTTACAAGAAAAAATTGAGTTTCTTAACAATTAACGTGTAAATTGTAGTGAAAATATAATATTTCACGATTTCTTTTAAAATGTTATCAAGTTAAATGAAAATTGAACATTATATTAATGTTAGTCATGGTCGAATCCAAGTTTCATTTACAGCAAATAAATATTTTCATTATTTTAGGAGATTTTGCCTTTTGAGACACCGCGTTAATTCAACTCCTATGTTCAAAAGGAGGACTTTTGCTTCATCTCTTTTCCTTAAATTTTGAGTTTCAACTAATTACAGACTTTCCCTTTAATAATGTATGCTTAGATTTCGAAATCTTCATAGGAACTACTTTATAATAACATTTTTAGGAATGTTATAATAAGAATAACGTTTAAATCTAGGAATTCTGGTAAAAAATAGCGTTAACAAGTGGATGTTTCGATGCTTTGTGATTTATTTTAATGTGTTAAAATGCAGACATGAAAACATAAAAACGATTATAGGTTTTGATTGAAGTTTCTATCCTAAATTTTAATTTTATGTACAATATGTAATAATTGTTCTAAACATATTTTTTGCTTCGATTAATTACATTGGGGAAGAAATTTCCTGTAGCATTTTTACTAGCACATGATCATACGTACTTCGGGTGCTGAGATTTCAAATCTGAAACTGGTTATGTTCGAAAAAAAAATTAAAAGCTTCACCAAGAGAGAGAGAGAGAGAGTTACATCTAAGTGAAGTTTCATATGAAGTTTTAAATCATTTACATGGGGTGGTGGGGAAAATAACTTTCAATCAAAATTACAATACAAAGAATTCTGCATTAAAATATAAACTTTATCAGAGGAGAAATTTTTTCAAAAATACTTTGGAAGTTGGCAGCCCTGTACACATATACTTGCCTGCTAATTTGAAAGTGACACTTAAGAAGAAAAAAACATATTGACTTAACAAATCATAGACTGAAATGTATTATCGCAATTTTCCTACCATTCTCCATGCAGCAGAAAAGTGGGAACACTCAGTATTCACTCGAGTGAATTTTTAAGAAAATCTCAGTTAGGAATATATTATTAAATTGCATAAAAACTGTAGATTATAGCGAGAAACCGAGTGCATATTTGAAATCATCGACTTAAAAATATCTTTGATATAGTATCTTCCTATGTTTCTCAGTGTAATTGATAAAATATAATGTTAAAAAGTGACACCCGAAAAAACTTTCATAGCTCTTAGAAATTGTTTTGATACTCGCTCAGAAACATAGGCGCAGTGTAAGGGGAGGGGCACACATACCCCCAATAATTTTCCAAAACTGAAGAGTTTTCTAGAATGCTTATTTTTTTTAGCCACCCAAAAAAGTTTTTTTTGTTGAAGGAAAAATTAATAATTTTAAATAGTTTGCATGTAAAGAATTCTGCGATTATCACTTTCGTGTAAGTGTTATCTTAAAAGTCATTTAATGATTTTCTTTCTTTTTTTTTTACAAATTTATTAATATTTGGATTCAATGATTTTAATAAAACAAAATTTAAGTTTTATTATTAACTTGTAATTGAAAGTTGTACTTATTTGATTAATTTTCACACAATAATTTTTTAAAATTATATTGTCATATTAATTATGAAATAATGATAAGTAGTTGCAATCATAACAAGTTATGATGGTAATTAGTTATAATGATTACTAGTTATGTTTAATGTTCTTATGATTTTTAACCAATAAAATCCACTTTATGAAACATTTTCTTTTTTTATAAATATTTAATTTTTCCAGCGTACTATTTTTTTGGTGTGCTTCAGTAGAGTGTATTCTAAATTAATTTGTTTGATTAACTTTTTAAAAATTAGCACCGGATTTCAGATTGCGCTAATTGCAAGAAAGCACTATTTTGCACTATTTTAGGCAAAAATCTATAAAAAGCGATCAAAATCAGTATCACTTTTTGCAATATTTTTTTCAGTTTATTATTAAAAGCGAATACATGGAATGCGTATTATTAATAATCTACAAATAAATGATTAAATTGAGAAATTATGTAATAATGAATATTAATATCCTAACATTTTTTTTAGGTGCAGATCATAACAGATATTTTCAAAGCATTCCATACCTAAAAATTATACTGCTAAATTTTAAATATACTAGTACAATATGTTGGATCTGATTCTCTCAGAACTTTTCAGATGAAATTTAAAAGCGAAATGATTTTGTCAAATCTTTTCTGATGTTTTGAGCAGTTATCAAATCACGCTAATTACAATCCTAGACTAATTCATATACATACTATTTTTTTAAAATATAAATACATTTTATGATAATTAAGATTGTATCAGATTACGTACTATTTTTATATCACACAAATTAGCGTGAAAACTGAAATAAAATATAATTTCTTGAAGAATGATTTCCAATAATAGTGTTTCAAAATATGCTTAACATGATTATTCCTGAAATTGGAATGTAGCACATCAATTTCAGTCTTTTGCAATAAGTGATTATAAATATTGTCATATATGTAAATCTAACTTTAATTAAACAGGCGATTTTTGGAAAAAGCTAATGTAAATCTATGTATGGTTTTCATAGATTATGTATATGTATATATTTATGTTAAATTATATATAGGGCTACCAGAGACTACGCTTTTTGCAAAATAATTCATAAAGTGGTAGACAATTAACAATTAAAGTTTTTAGATTATTTGGTAATTTTGCAGAAATTTTGAAATTTTCACCAGGAAAGAGTAGAAAGAAAGTGGTGTTTCATAGAACTTTTGAATAATTTATGTGTAGTGGTGGAGAAAATAACTGTAAATCAAATTTACAAAACAAAGAATCATTCATTAAAGCATAAACTTAGCAGCCACCAGATGTAATTTTCCCCAAAAGCGCAGATAGTACGTAGTATATGTACTAAAAACTGCTTATAAACATTTTTCAGTAGCCATGAGAAAACTTATCTACCACTTTGTTCTGTTTTCCAGGTCGCAGTAACTTTGAAAATGTTACAAATATTATATTTGTATTTATTTACAAGTTTAATCATTGAATGACTAAAACTCTCAGTAACTTATAGACCAAATTGCAATTACTAGAACTTGTAATCAGGTTCTCTATTTTTTTTAATCAAATAATTGTCTTTCCGTCGCAGAAATTCAATTTTAGAATTTGATAAATGGTTTTTATTTTTCAGGATTATCGCGTAGATCCTTATTATGATCAGAGTCCAAAGCCATATTCATTCAGTTACAGTGCTCCACTTGATGATGGAGTCGGTCAAAGCTCCAGAAGCGAGACTGCTGATGGTTCTGGTAGAGTTCAAGGCTCTTACAGCTTAAACAATGACGAGGGACACTACAGAGTTGTTGATTATGTTGCAGACGAGAACGGATTTCGTGCTTCCATTCGCACCAACGAGCCAGGCACTGAGAGCAAGAACCCAGCTGATGTGACTATCGAATCTGCAGCCGGACCTTATCCATATGCTCCAATTGCAAGGCCCGTATTGAATACCTTGATAGAACCTGTAGCTCCAGTTGCAGAGCCTGTTGTTATTCCAGATCCTATTGCTCCGATCCGCCGTCCAGTTTATCGAAGGCCTGCTACCTACGCTGCAAGAAGGCCAGTTCTTAGAGCACCTGGCAGACTAGCTTACGGACTTGCTTAATTTCCAACTGAATTATCTGAAAGATATGGCATATAAACATCGCACCATGAATTTTTCCTTCCATTTTTTTCCGGAAAAAAACTGCTTTTGCTATCAGTTACCATAAATGTTTTTTTGAATAATCAACTGCTTGTATTATATATTTTTAAATACCTTCTTTTGGCTCATGACTTTTTTTTCTGCTTGTGCCTTTTCTCTTTTTCTAATGTATAGATGATCTCTTTTTCTCTCTTGGGTTTTGCTATTTTTTAAACTTTTATTCTTGTCTATCCTCCTTCAGCTCTTTATATCTAGATTCAGTCTTATTTTTCCATACTTTTTTTCAGCTTAGAAACTTTTTCTACGCTTTCCATGGAAGTATTCTAACTTTCTCTGCCCTGCACCACTTTTCTTTCTCTATAGATATTTTCTTTCTCTTTTTTCCTAAACTCTTCTTTAACTTTACTTCAGTTTTCTTTTCTCCCATCATATTTGTTATCTAACAATTTTGGGGCTTCATTACACGCCTATACTTAAAATTTATGATAATTGTTTGACTTTCATAAGTTTTCTTCTGTTTTGTTTCATAATTATCAAACAATTTAGTTTCAATACTCAAAACATTTTTGCATAAAGATTCTGTTATAGTTGTGCTTCTATGCTACATTTTGATCAATAAATATTTAAGAACATTAATTGGAACCCTTTATTTTAGTTTTGCTTCCTTCTAAATTTGATTATAAATTAATTTCAAATAGGAATTTGCCGGAGTTGTAGAGACATTTATCTTAAACTTAGCTTGAATTATTTCTCATAAGTGAATTTTTTTTTCTGCAACAACTTTAAGTTATATTAGGCGAATAATATTTTCGAATAATATAAGTTATATTGGGGGAATAATTATATAATATTTTTATTCAAATTTCTTTTTCTTTTTTACTGCAACTGATATCTAAATTTCTTATCTCGAGAGTGGAACTTATTATAAGGCTGGAAAATTGAGCTCGAAGATTGACGAAAAAAGACTGCATAAAGATGAAAGTTGAAGATTCAAGTAATTATCAGTCGAACAGTGATTTGGCTGACCTAATTATTGTGCCTTTTTGTACAGTAAAGGCCTCTATTGAAAAACATTTCCTCAATTCCGATACTTAATAAAAAGAAAGTTGCTTTCTGAACTCAAAGCGGTGTTTTAATAAGCAACTCTTATAAAATACAATACTCAAATCTGCGAATTAACTTGAAACTACTTAAGAAGAAGTAAAAAAAAAAGCTGTAGAAGAAAATAAAAGTAAGGTAATCTGATCGGAAATTCAAAATTTAAGTTAAAAAGATGGAAAACTAGAATTCAAATATAAGTTCTTTCAAGTCTAATATCGAAATCAGTTAGGTATTTATTAAACAAAACAACCATTTTCCACACATCATTAAACTAAAAACCTGACAAATGGTTTTGCCAGGCGTTAGGTTAATTCCAAGCACAAAAAATCATATATGTGCTTTGTAATACATATTATTATGTATTAAAATTTTACACTCTTATAATTTTGTTACTGTACAATCGCAAAGAAATTTAAATTATTATTAAGTTACTTTTTACACCATAAAAAATGGTTTTGGGTGACAAACTATACATAACCCTTAATGTAGAGAGCAAGTATGGTCTGTTTTTAAACATTTGTTAATAAAAGCTTACTAATTATTATTATTATTTCGAACATATACAGTATTATTTTTATTAAAATTTGAACGTTCATGTTTATTTTGAAGAATAAATGAATCAATTCGAAGTTATAATTGTTTTTCTTTAAAAAATAGCTATTTTTGTCCAAGTGTAGATATGTCATGGGGCCAGTGTAGAGAATTCTTAAGACTAATTATTTGATCTATTGTTACTAATAAAAAAACAAGTAAAATCAAAATGTAACTAATTTTAAACTAAAAATGGCGCCTTAATCTTTCCCCAGTCTTTTCGCATGTATAAATGGATTTTGTGTCTTCTAAAGATACAAATGAAGAGTGTCTTTATAACTGAAAATATCTAATTTATTTAACTTAAACAATATAAAAACATAACAAAATAGTCCCAATATTTCCCATTTCCGTTTTCAGATTTAATAGTCGATCATCAGTTTCCAAAGGTTCTGTCCTGCATGTCCTTTAATCAGTTACGGGTACCAATACATATCGTGTTCTGGATGGTCTGGCTGGTTGTGCTACTCTAGGGGCGGTTGCTACTCCAAGACTGTATGTAGGAGCACCAGCTGCTTCAGGGGCAGATGATTCTACTATCACATCAGCTGGGTTAATGTTGGCGGTACCTGGTTCGTTGGTTCGAATGGTAGCTCTGAAACCATTTTCATCGGCAACGTATTCAACAACTCTGTTGTGACCCTCTAAATCAGCGACACTGTATGAGCCTGTTACTTTGCCAGCACCATCTCCAGATTCCTGATGTGAGCCAGAACCTCCGTCCTCTGTGTTGGATATGTAGTTGAAGGAATAAGGAATGGGTGCATCAACCTATTAAAAAAAATGAAACGGAATTGAAGTTACCCAATTTCATGATTAAAAAAAGCAATTAAGGAATCATATTTAAAAAACTTATTAAATTGGTTGAAAAACTTACTCTGTGCTTGAAGTACATTGCAAAATTAAAAACGTACAAAATAACAAAAAACAAAATCAACCAGAATAATTTTTGATGAGATTTTGGTTCATTTTTTAACAAGCCAAGTTGCAATCTATATTGCAACCTTTTAATTTAAATATGAAATTAGGCATAAAAATAGATTTTCGTTGAACAATGTCATTTCGTATGCTAAGTTGTTTCAGGAATAAACTTAAAACAATCTTCATTGTTTGAGGAGTGAACGTATAACAATCTTTAATATTTGATGAGTAAACTTAAAACAATATCCATTGTTTAAGGAATAAATTAAAAACAATCTTTATTGTTTGAAAAGTAAACTTAAATCAATCTACATTGTTTCAGGAACAAAATTAAATAAATTTTTTTCTTGTGGAGCAAACTTAAAACAATCTTCATTGTTTGAGGAGTAAACTTAAAACGTGCTAATCATTTAGAGATCACTTTTAATTTGTATTTAAATTCAGATACAAATCAAAATTTGATTGTTTAATTTATGGGCTCATGCACTATCGTCTTAGGAAAATTATCTCCATTAAAATTCTTAGAAAGAATCTCAAGAAAAGTGTTTTAACTTCCCAGTGATACTTCTCCGGAACAATACAGTTCCGCGGAGCTCCTTATGGGAATTGCTGATCTAGAGTAAAATCCAGAATCTTACAAAGTACTTAACTAGAAATAATATTAATTTATATATACTTTTGCTACTATTTTTAGTTGCTCCCTGCTTGTCACCAATCTATATAATTTTTACCGATTTTTAAATGGAATCATAAATTGGTTTGCTTTTTTAAAAATATGTCAGCATTGAAAAGTACTGGTAGCATATATAACAACACAATTTACTTTTAAATTAATTATTTCATGCCTTACCTGAGACCAGGCGACAGCTACAATAGCAGCTAAAACAATGACAACCTGAAAATATTTAAAAACAAAATTATCAAAAATAAAATAAAGTTTTAATCATGAAAATAATTAATTGGAATTATAATTTATCACTCTCCTTTTAAAACTCATCACACTAAAAATTTTGCATATTATGACAAAATAGGATGTGTTAAGCATACCTGCCAACTCTTCCGGATTTTCCGGAAGATTTTATTTTCATATTTAAAGTGGTAGTAAGTATATACTATTTTTTCTTTTTNAAATTTTGCATATTATGACAAAATAGGATGTGTAAAGCATTATAATAAAATAGATAGTGTACAACTATTTATTATATACTTTTTCTTAAGATATCTATAAATTCAAAATAATATCTGTATCGCGTTTTTTATACAATTAAACATATTAAATTAGACTAGTCGTTAGCAGCAATCACATTGAAAATAATATAAATTTAAAAATAATAACATATATAAAAGAGTTATTTGAATAGTTGGCAGCTCCAATTTTATTCATTTTCAGAATCAGAGCCATATAGTGCTTGCATTGACTGCTAAAAGTTCTGCGACTGAGATACTTGAAATATTGTAGATCATGGCTTTATGCAATCGATTCCTTTTTTTCCCCTTATAGATGTTTGAGTAAGGGGAAAGCTCCTACGCACTGTTTTCAAAAAATATAGACTGGTAATTTCACTCGTGAAAATCATGAAAAATATTTGTGTTTATCTTTGAATGCTAATAATATAAATATCTGTACTCATACTCATATGTGTTGGTTATCTTAGCGTCAGCCCCGCTAGGGGCTCTAACTAATTCATCTGAGTGGAAATAAATCGCCGAAGCGCAACTGAAAGGTGAAAGTTCAGTATCTTTTACTGAGAGAAAATTAAAATGAAGTATTGTGATTGAACAAACAAGTTTAAGAGAGAGAAGAGGTTTTGCGGCTGACTGCCTCGCCTCCCTTCGAGGTATTACCCCCGAGATAAATATCTGTATTATTACATGAAGTTAGGATATTGCGGTGTTTTAAAACTAAAATGGTAGCCAACAATAGAAAATATCAAAATAGTCTAAGTACAAAAGCCGTTCCAATTCTTTTTTCTTAGAGGTACTTTTTGCATTACTGCAAAATGTGTTTTTTCAAAACTAGTTCAGAATGGTTTAACGAAATTTCAGTGGAGTTATGCTCAAAAACTGAAGGCAAAAGAACCACTTCACTATTAATTCAAAATTGGAGCTAAACCAACGCCTCCTATTACTGAAAGCCTCCACACAGTATTTTATAGGTAGTTCGCTCAGACCACCATGATGGTAAATTAGTTTACGAAAGTGCCATTTAATAGAAAATGTAATAAAAATAAGAAAGTGATAGCAAATGTACGTCGAAAATTTTATTACATTTATGAATATAACTGGTTTGTCTTATTTACTTGTTTACCATCAAAAATTCAATTTTCAAATATATATATGTTAACTTTCTCTCAATTACTTTTAAATTGGAATTTGGTTTTATGCGCACCACTGGTTCACATTTTAAATAGTCTGCGCAGGACTATTGATGTAGGAGGTGATGGCTAAACTAACTCTAATACCAGAGATTGATTAGAGATACAATATTATTGAACTAATAATGATTAAATTACATTAACACTAATAGAATTATTACACTAACAATGTTAATATTTCAAGTTAACGCTTAAGGTAAAATAGTCAAGAGTAATAATGGTCAAATCAAAAATAATGATCTAGTATTACAATTTAGCACTTCTTCAATTCCACATGTCAGAGACTGTGGCAAAAAAAATAAATATGCTGTAACATGCATTAATGTAGGATTCAATGTAATAGAAACTGAAATTGTATTAACAAATATAAGCAGTAACTTTTTAGATACTAAATTAGGTAACATTAAATTTACAAAATAAAAAGAATATGTTTAATGATTTTTAAAAATAGTTTGAAGTCATGCAGATGACTCGCAGCACCTTTCGTATTTGTAAATCAGATTTCTGTAATTTTCTCTACTATGAAAAACTATATATAAACTATTAAACTAAATAATACATAACACAGGATACATAAAGCCAACTCACAAAATTTTCTAAAATCGAACTCCTCTAAATTTTTAACTATGAACATCGTTTCGTAGAAACTTTGCTAGCTAATCGATCATTATTCTCGACAAATTCGTGAAGTTTCCGTTGGCAGCCTAAACTAGCTGTTAGTTCTCATTTGTTTCACACTCGGAGCATTTCAATTTTACAATTTCCGTAAATTAAATGATAAAACGGATTGTATAAAACGAGTTTCTAAAGAATAAAATGTAGAACATTTTTTTTAAAACATGACTCAACTCATTATTGTAAATCCATACTGCACGTAATATTCCTTTAGTATGAATTTAAAAAATAAAATCGTGCTTACGAATACATTATTGAATTGCACAAAAACTCTAGCTAGAGAGAAATCCATTGCAGCTTTGAAATTAGTGACTCAGTGAAGTATATTAATAATATAGATATTAAATTTGAAATTTTGGTCAATATTAATATTTGAATTTTTAAAAGTAAAGTCGTAGGTTACCAAAAAAAAAATCCACTTGATACATGTACTATCGCTCTTTCCATGTAGGTGTTTTGTGTCTGGACAAAAGTTACGGGTAAGACGTTAAGCGCGCTAAATGTTTTTCATTAATCGAAAAATATCCAGTGCTGGATTTTCTGACAAATTTCCAACAATGTAAAACAAATCAAATCTCCACACGTATTGTACACTAAATTATTATAATTGTTCTAATAGAAGAGTCTAATTCTAATCAGTTTTATACTTCCAACTGCGGGAATAACTTGTTTCTACCAATTCATACGAATTACATCTTAACCCACTATTTGCACTAAATAATTAAGAATTTTCTAATAAAAGAATCTGATTCCGATTTATTGCTTATTTTCAATTTTGGAACAAAAATTTGATACCAAATTTCCGGCCAAATATCAAGCATTTCAAAACAAATTACATCACAATACACACTATTTACACCAAATGATTAAAATTGTCGTAATAAAAAGCATTATTTTTAGTATGAATAAATATTTAGTAAAAATTAATTACCTTCATAATGGATGATAGATTTCAGAGGACACTTAAGTTGAATCACTCAAAATTGTGTGAGCTACTGTAAATTTCTGGGTTATATTTATACCACCAAGCAAGTAATGGTAATTTTTTTTGGATACATATTAACACAAGTTTTAATGAATATTAATAATTATTCGCGATTTATAAAAATCTTTCCCCCAGACTGAGGTCGGCAGGTCCACATTTCATGTAAAGTTATCTTATAAAAACCGACCTTGGAATTCTAATAATTTTCTGATGAAGATGATGATTTTTAGATGTTCAAGTCACGTTGCATTTTGTCTTTGGGGTAACCATAAGTCATGGTTTCTTTTAATTGCCCTAGAACTAAATTAGAGCGAAGTTCTATCGTTTTGAATGTGTTATAATGAAGGAAAACAATTTTTTTTTTATCATGTGGTGAAGTACATAAAAGAAAGAGTTCCCGAGGAATTTAAAATGGATGCATGGGTGAAAACAAGCGTGATGTGGTTTTAAATTTAATGATTTTAAGTACTTATTTTATAATTTTCAAAAAGAAAAAAGGATTTTATAATTTCTAAAGAAAAATAGAAAAAAAGCTTAGGATAGCGTCTCAAGGTTCTTAGAATATTACGATACACAATTTAAGAACTAAGGTTGAATGTATACTTTGAGGGAAAAAAAGTCTAAGTATTTAGTAGTATAGTTATAGCAAACAAATAAATAATTTAATTTTATCAATAGATTTTAAGATAATTTAAATATATTGCTAGATTACTCAATGTCACTTACAATTTAGAACATTACTAAAATGGTACGAAGATAAATTGGTTTCGTGTAAATATTAATGGAATTGGTTTCATGGAAGATGATAAAATTGATCGTCGTATTTACAAATATGGTCGTTAGAAAACCTAGAAAAATGGAGAAATATTAGAAAATTGGGAACATTACTTAAATGGTAAGAAGATGATAAATTGGTGCATTATAATGGTATATGGTTAAAATCATTTTAAATAAGATTTAAAGATACAAGGATTAAAAAGAGAGCATACATTTTGCTATTTCTTCAGCCATTAGGCAAAAACCCGTTAAGTTGATGACTATAATAACATTATAGATCTTGCTACCATTCTGTGACATTTTTTCTTTGTAATTTATTCTCGCAATCATGGTTTCAAGAATATAATCTTTGTATTTAGAATAGACTAGATATAACTTATCACAATCCGTTATAGTTTCCAAAGAACTCCACCAATTTCATAGAACCTAGTGCCAAACATAGCTCCTACGTACGTCTAAAACTGATAGATACTTAATCGATTTTTTTCTTTATTTAATCTTTTTAATTATTTAAACGGGACTACCACCTGGACTCACATCAAAAATTATGTATATATTAAAAAAGCATAATCTGTTTTTCGTAAATGTATACTGAAATATGAGAAAAAACTTTTAATTGTGATCTTTTTTAATACCTGTTGGTTTTTTATTAGTCACCGCTATTTTCAGTTTTGGGTGTTCGAGGGTGCCTTCTTTAAACGCAAATGAAGTAATAATGTATTTACTTTGAAATAAATATTCTGATTTCGGGGGGAGCTGTTCCTTTCATTTTTAAAGTGGTAAATACAAATACATATATTAACAATGAAATGTTTATTTATCAAAGATGATTTTTTTATTGATTTCGATTACTAAACATCAATAAATATATGTAAATTCTAACAGTATTATTTAACACTAGGTTTACGGGAAGCGTCATTTTGACGCATTTCGAGTTTTGTAAGGAAAATTACAAAACCCGTTTGAATTTTTATTTTATCTCTTGTAATGACTTTTATCCATTGATCGAGGTAAGTATATATTGAGGTCTATTTTCTTCAAAAGCGTTGAAATATTGAAATTCTCTTTGTGGTATACCTATCTCTACTGATATGCGTCAATTTGACATGATCGTAATATAGACAAAATTTGAAGTAAACATGCAAGCATCACATCAATAATAAATAGGAATGTACCCACAATACCTCGATCAGTTATCCGATATTGTTATCTCAAATGAAACAAGCGATAAACAACTGTTGCCGATAAGCAATAATAGAAAGAACAAACGCAGAATGTCAGCAAATAACCACTAAGTAAATTTAGCAAATATAAAGTGGCGAATTATATAATCCTACAAATTATTTAGAAATAGTGGTGGTTGAAAAATCTTCTAAATTGAATTTATTAAATATGTATTCGTATATATATGTATTCGTTCATGCGTCAAATTGACGTGTGTTCGTAGAGATAGGTATAGTATAAGAAACGTCCGTAAACCTAGTGATGTATTCGTTAGTGCGTCAAATTGACGCGTGTTCGTAGAGATAGGTATATAAGAAACGTCCGTAAACCTAGTGTTAAGGATCTTAGGTATTTGTATATTTAAAAAATGCCTGCTTGTAGTATGTCTGCTTATAGTAATGATCAGACCTGACAACTATTACGCTTTTTGCAAAATATTTTATTGAGTGGTAGACACTTAAAAACCAAAGTTTTCAGAATTTTTGGTAATTTTGCCACTGTCATATTTTCATATATTGTTACATGACAAAACATCTGATTGCGAATTATCAAGTACATAGTTTTTAGGTGGAAAAATAACTTTTTAATTTTTGATTTAATTGAAATTTTAGTCTATTTTCCTTCATCGTTTTGAGTAATGGGAGATATTATATCAGGAATGAATATGCTTATTAGATATTTTAATAATCTTATTTGATTTAGTTTCTTCTTAATTAACCACAAATGACTTTAAACGATCGAATGACTACATTACACTGGGGACATATACTGTTAACAGAGTATTTTAGTGGCGGTAAATATACATTCTTTCTAATAAAAATTTCTTATTTTTTTTAACTTTTTAAGCTACCACATTAACGTTGGTAGAATAAATTTCTCATACAAGCATATATTATTTACTATATAATGTATAGTGATTGTCTCAAATTTATTAGATGATCAAACTGATTGAAATTTACAACTGAATGAGTTTATAAGATTACAAAATGTGCTTATGCTATATAGATAATACTTTTAACTATTTATTGTTTTTTTCATAATGTTTCTTGCTTTCATTAGAAAAAAAATATTAATTGTGAATACTTAAAACTATTCTTTAATCTATTACATATATTAGAATAGAACAATTTTTTCATTAGTGAATATTTCAGATATATTCTTTAATGCGTTTTATTATTTTTTTAAATAATTATTTTTAAAAAAGTACAACTTTTAATATAATGCATACATTTTAATGAAGTAAAATACAAAATTTTGTACATGAGTACTGTATGGGGATAGATCCCTAATTACACTTTATTTTAAATCATAACTGATTAGCAGAAAGAAATAAAATTTTCTTAGAAAAATAAGTAAAGTTAATTTATTTGTCTTTTATAAATTAATTAATTGAATTTCAGAAAAGTTCATTAGATTTCCTTTTAAATTGTAACAATATGACTTAAGTTACAACTTATTACTTTGTTTTATTTGTTACATTATTAAAGTGACTGTTTCTACTGATACTTAAATAAATATGTTCTCATAAAACTACGTTATTTGTGCAAAAAAATTTCTCGTAATTTGTAAAATAATTTTACGTATAAAATATTTACAAAATCATAGTTCAAGGAGCTACTTCCACAGCTTTTATATTACATTATATTTTAGTGGAAGAGTGAGAATGAAATTTTTTAAAATAAGTTAAAGAAGAAATAAATATTTATTTCGTAAATATTTTTCGAAACCTAATTTTTCTAATTACTTTTCCCATTATTCTTATTTGCATGTTATATTGTAAATAAATTGTTTTCTTTATATACTTCCATGTATTAAATTCTTTTAAATGTGCTGACATTTGTGCATCGTTAGGGGTCAGTCCAAGTCAAATTTACTACCGTTTAGCGGTACCTTTACAAATTCAACTTTAGGAAAAACGGTATTTTCACAAAATATTTTTTCTTAAAATTTTACTTTTGCGTCTCGCAAGAAGCGATAAATCCATATTTTTACCATATTTTGTGCTGCTTTTTTAATATAATTTTTAATTTTCACAAAATATTTATCTCTCTAATGAGAAAAACCTAGACAGACTCCTGATCGTATAAAAAAGCATCGTTTGGAATAAAGTGACAACACTGTTGAATTAAAAGGTTATCAATAGAGAATTGGAAACAAAAGAAATGATTGGGGCTTCAAAAAGAGGTATTGGCCAGGGAATATATACCGTTTCATAGAAATAGTAACAATTATCATAAAATAAAACTTGAGAGTATAATTTGTATTTGGTTGGCCGTAATTTCTTAGTCAACTCTATAAGTATCTTTTCGTTCACACGTGCTAATATAACAAAATATTTTTTTCAATTATCGTCTTGAAAATTGCTCAGGCACGTTTTTCTTTTAGGAATTTTATTATCTTCTCTTGTGTAATAAAAAGAATAAATTGATCAGCTCTATATCGTATTTAGTCTTCAAAAATCATTACTCCATCCAAGAATGAGTATAATGGATAGTAGATATAGACTGGACAAAAGACCGGAGTTTCATGCCTAGAAATGGTTCCCAGGAGGTTCATGGTGCCGTAAAAGTTTTGCTTGATGGAATTTCATTCCAGAGAGCTCATGGTANATTCAAATAAAGAGCAAATTTCACTACCAGCTCAATATTCAAAAGTTCTTCGTAGAAATCAGATTTTATATACAGGGTGTCCCAAAAGGTCGTTTACAAACTTAACATGCTGGTCTGTCATATCATGATGGACAAGATTTACATAGGAATTTGTGTCCGAAAATTAAAACTGCGACCGCTAGGGGGCGATAATTGCACGAAAACGGGAGAGTGGGAAAAACAATCATTTCAGGCGTAGACGTTGAAGGAGAAGGATGAATGAGTTTAGTAACGCAGAAATGGCCGACATGCATTACGTATACGGCGCCGCTGATGGAAATGGACGAGCGGCGGCACGGACGTACCTTGAGTGCTTCCCAAACAGACGTCAGCCAGACCCATGGCCGCCGCGATCCCCCGACCTGACTCCCCTGGATTTCTACCTGTAGGGTCCATAGTGTACGAGACACCTGTATCATCGGACATGGATCTTATCGCCAGGATTGCGGAAGCGGCAGCACGTGTTCGTGACACTCCTGGCCAATTTGAACGGGTTCGTGAATCCATGCGCCGACGCTGTGAAACGTGCATTGTGGCGAATGGGAGGAATTTTGAGCATTTGCTGCGATATAATGATGTTTTATAATAAAAATCATATTAACACC